ACTAACTGTTAGCAAGGCTTTGTGCATGCTTTAGATTAGCCATGTAATTACACCATAAACCCCCACTAGGATTTCATTTCAGCTGAAAGCAGTGGAACTAATGGTGTGCTTACAAATAAAGCTAATTAAGATTTTGTAGAACTGGGGACTATTTCATAAAAGTACCAAGAGATTTAATGTCAATATGTAGCACTTTGAATGACTCATAGAATCTATAAATATGTACAGGTATTTTCAGCCTGATCATTATATGACTGGCCTAGCTCAGAAAGAAATGTGAAAATACATAGTAGGAAACAGCTCTTCCAAACAGCAAATAATTGTGTAAATATATAACTGGAACAAAATCCTACAGCTGATGTATAACACAGGAAATTCCTTTTCAACATATTTCTTGATGCTTAATCCTGCCAGGTGGAATGGATCAACAAAAAGGGAGAAGTCACAGTACGTTGTGAAAAAATGTTATACATTTGCGGAGGTCATCCAACAGGACAGAAGGCAACTCTGCAAAGCAGCTACAACTCTCATCGCTCAAGTTCAGCTAGGTTCAAGCACAGTGTCTATCTGTGTCATTACAATTATTTCCATTTCAATTTATCAGTATCTTGCAAAAAAGCCTGTTTGTACTGAAATCCCTTTTCAAGCTATTTCCTTATTTTTTTCCAATATATACATATTAATTTAAATTAAAATACAGCAGTACTGGTGTAACAGTTGGGGTGGGGAAAAAAACACTTCTACAACTTGCCCACAAGAGCTTCTTCAGACTTAATATAATATATATCTAATATAATATAATTCTTCAGTATAATTCGACACTGGAAGAGTACCTCATCATTTGTAACAGCCACAGTGAGCACTGAATCATCTGCTGGTATTAGACTGTGAAAAAATGAACATGTCAGTACAATGGCGTGACATGGCACACTATGGCTGATCAAAGCACTTAAATTCAGGGGAAAATAAAATATTAAGAGGAAACTGTTTAACATGCCTGCTGAGATAAAAATCAGAGCTCTCCACAATAGGTCACTGCAAATCAGATTTGGAATGTTAGAAGAAAAGAGAGTGGATATTTGATATGAAACCTGAAGGTATAATTGGTGAGATTTTTGTTCAATTAAATTCAAAACAGAAATGAGACAACGCAACACACTTTGCAATGTTCAAAATCAACTGAATCAAGAAAAGGAGCCCGACACTCACCAGGACTCCGTGTCTCAGCATTAGCACCAGTACAGATTTCCCTTAAGGACTGACTTTGCAAGGTGCAAGAGTGGGTTTGACCAGAGACCCACAGAGACCTTCAGAAGACGGGCAATTCTGAAAATAAGTGGCAGGATCTGTGCCAGAAGCAGCCCCCAGCCTCTCCACCCTGAGGCAGGAGTGCTGCCCACCCTCTGGATCAAGTAAAGCTTTCTCTATATCAAGTCAGGTCCAGGAAGGCCAGTAGTAACTTTTGCTAGTAAATGAGTATTAGTGAAGATAAATGCCAAAAATGAGGGGGCAAACCCTTGCAGTGAAAGATTAAAGTCTTTGTTAGGATTCATTACGCATGTAGGCTGATAACACACATTTCACAAGTGTCTGCAACAGATTGTCCTCCTTTCTGCAAATGTATTTTCCATTTGTTCTTTATCCTGAGCCAGGCATGAGGCCTAGAGAGAGAGGCTGCCCCTTTTACTTCAGCCCAAGCCCCAGGGGTACTTAACAAAGAGTCTGGCCAGGGGATTGCGAAGTCTGCAAGGGTGCCTGCTTGGTATTGCTACAAAAGAGAATTTGAAAGGTTTTGTGCAGTGATGACTCTTGTTCAAGGAGTCAGCAGCATTTCAGTGAGCCAGCAATTCATATATATTAAACCAAACCCCATATTCCCCTCCCCTCCATCATTTTCAGAATATAAGAGTAGAGCTATCTTAATTTGTAATGCAAATTGAGGACTTGCAGTTCCCATTAGAGCTAACGGGTTCTCCACTCTTCCTGATAATGTGTTTAAAAATAAACCCCTCAAATCTCTTGCCTAAGCAGCATTAATCATGCTAGATCTTAACCATCAATTGTCAATTGGCTTTTACGAACTATGAGGTAAACAAGAAAGCATGGGGTGCTTTAAAACTGCTGCTACAGACCGTGAGCTACAGACATCTACTTTCCCCATCTCCTCTCTGACTTCAAGGGAGTATTATTGCTGAACATCACAAGGTGCGATATGACTTGCTAACAATACTTGTCCATATTTTGTATCAAGCATCTGTTAGTATTTAAATATCTAATTTCAAAGTATTCAAAACTTTATGCAGGTCAGATCCCAGACATATTTCACACACATGGATTAACTGAAGAAAATCATTAAAAGGGCAAACCCCCAAAACATTAGCAAGTATAATCATATACAAAATGCCAAAATTTGCTTCCCTCATTTCAGACTCTACTCATATACCAGCCTGCAGCTGGATTCCTGAATTTTTTTTTTTCAATTTCTGTATCCTCAGGAGCTATATATGAAGGCGCCCATTACGTAATCCAATGTTTTTTATAGGAAACTAAAACTACACTGAAGAGATTAAATGTTGGAAGCTATTTTTAGCCAAACAATTGTTACAATTATGTAACAACTTCCCTAAGAACATAAGATGCAGATGTCTCCAAAGGTAAAAAGCAAGATGATGGAAGAGCTAGTGAGACGAAGGGCTACCGGCTACAGAAAAATAGCAGAACCAAATGACATTAAATGATGCAGTTCTGCCCAACGCTCCCTCTAGTGGTTTTGCCCACAGAGATGAGCATGAAGTTCCATACAAGCAAAATCCTCCCAGGCTAATGACAAAACGTCCTGTTAATAGGATTAAGTACCTTCTCATCAGATAAGTAGAACATGGCAAAATCCCTGACACTCCCAGCAATTAGATCAGAACACAGCCCGACCCCTTCCTGACGCAGGGAGCATTTTTGCAGAAGAGGTGTTTCAGTATTAATGGTAAATATGTTGGGGTTTTTTTTACTTTTCTTTGGTAATGGGTTTGTATCTCTTTGCAAAGTTAATTGGGCTTTCGCTATAAATGTAAAGGTACGATATGCAAGTAACTGTAGAGGTAAATCCAGGCTATAAATAAATCCAGGCTCTTAATTTACATTTACATTACACTTGCAGCTGATAACTGCATCTCCAAGAAGGCAATACTGGCTAACAAGAAGGCACTTAAATACTGTGTTCACGTAATCAGATAAGAACTATAAAGTGTAGTTGCATGGTTTCTAAAAAATAAACCTTTCTTCTCTAACTGCTCTTGGGAGGGAAATAAAGCAAGTGGCATTTCTTTCCCTCATTTTGTAGGAATTTCTTTCAATTGCTGATGTGTTTATCTACAAAACTGATCTAATTGCCAATTTCTTGGCACACCTATTATTGCCTCTGCTATATTAAGTATTATCCTGAAGGACAATGAAAGGAATTGAACGTTTGGAGACAAGGAAGGGAAACACATTGTAGAAATCTCTCTTTTTAAATTTGGCAATGATGTTTAGCATGGACGCATTTATGATATGAACTAAAAACATAGTGTGAGATCAGTAATTAGTGTGTTTCACAAGATAGAAAAGGGACAGACTGAGCTGTGTAAGCTTTCGGTTTTATATATATATGTCCTGATTCTGTTATACCACTGTGCAAACTCAGTGGAATTAATCTAGTTAGTCTGAATAGATAATTACAAATGAGGTCAAGCACCTTACTCATGTGTTTTCAGTAACAGTAGCATTTAGGTCCACGTTAGAGATCTCGGAAAACATAGTTAAAATCAAAATCAATGGGAACTTGTATAATACTTAGTAAACATTACACCTAGGCATTTAAGCATCATGAAGATGCTTACATTTAACTGCACCAACCTTCTTCTTTAACAGAAAGAACATGAAGTCCTTTTGTTTATTTATAATATCTGTGCTATGGCTGAATGGTCATCAGTGTGCACCGACAAAGCACGAAGAAATGTATCTCCGGGAAAACTTGAAGCGTATGTATGCTTTTCTCACCACGGGTGTGCTGGAAGCCCCTGGGCCCAGGTCTCCAGTCTCCTGGTGTGTTTTGACTTCCACGCACTGGCGGCAGGAGGATCCGCTTCCATGTGTGGAGCTTAGAATGCATCATGTAGCTGACTACATGCATACACACACAATGGGGAGATAAGAACAACTGGGATGAGAAAGTAAAGGGAGAGATAAGCATCCCCTTACAAAAATTTATTTACAGCATTTTTATAGGCTATTTGGTCTGTCATCATTAATTTAGAAAAAAACCCAGCTATTCTGCAGGCACTCATCTTTACGCTTGGCTTTATTTTGTGGAGAAGAATCCCAGGAGGATCAGCCATGAAATATTCCTTTGCTTCAGTCTACGTTAATAATATTTCTGTAACAAACAAAAATTTGGGGGAGAGGAAGAAAGATACAAAGGAAGAAATGACTGATATTTGATTTTGGCAGTCGCAGGGTGATGTGTTCTTTACTTGGTTTGTATAGCTCCAGTGATATTCAGGGTATTTCTGCAAAGGGAATAAAGGATAGGCAATCGTGCAGAGCTTCAAGGTGCAATGTGTGGGCCAATCCAGGTTTTCATCAAAACTCTATGGTCATTACTTCACAGGAAGTCTAGAGATTGTATTTCTATGAAAGCAGGTTGAAGACCTGTAATCTATATTTTCAAAATGGAAAGGGAAGTTGTCCCAGGCTGCTTTATAAATATGTATGTTATGTCATTAGAAAACTGATCAAGTAATCCTTGGACATATCCAAAACCTAGGATAAGGTCCTGAGCAACCTGCTCTAGTTGACCCTGCTTCGAGCAGGGGGGTTGGACTCAATGACCTCCAGAGGTGCCTTCCAGCCCCAACTGTTCTGGGATTCAGTGATGAGCTGTTTCATTCTCCATCATCAGTGCATGACAATTTGTAATAGTGTTAAAATCTGATTAAGTCACTGTATAACTTGTCTTTTTTTAGTATTATCTGAAGTTGGAGAGAAGTATGTGGATGAAGAAGTAAAGAAAGCTTTGACTGGTATTAAGCAGATGAAAATTATGATGGAAAGAAATGAAGATAAGCACATAGATCTGATGAAAACCTTGAAGAAGAGCAGTGAAGAAAAACAGGTAACTGAAGCGCAAATGCGGGGTTTATATTTTTATTAAGTTGTGGCTATTTTTAATCAAAGATGAGGAAGGTTGTACATGGATTTAGCCTACCTCCTGGAAGCAGTAGAGCATGCCATTGTGCTCAGGCCAATAAGCAACCCAGAACAGATCCCTTGGGGTCTCCCCTTTTCTGGGAAGAATGTAAACCACATTGTATGTATGCTCTGAGCAGCATACATCTCTTTATATGGTCACAGGATTGGTAGGAATAGGATAGGCACAGTCAAGCTGATGGTGACCACCATGTGGAGATACAAAAGTTCTGCAGTTAAAGGAGATATTAAATGCTGTATGTGGACTCAGGCATTACTCTGGAGTTTTGTGACATCCAGAAGGCAGAGCTGCTGCAACAGCAATGTGTTGAATAAAGTATCACACTTACTGCTTATTTCTAGAAATCCCCCGCTTCACTGAATTCACACCAAGGCAACTGCAAGCAACTGCAGAAAGGTGTTTTGTGTGGAAGGTCCAGCAGCTCTGCCTTGCATGTCTTTATACACCTCAGGCCACAAGATGTTTCCCAGCTTGCTTTGCAAACTTCAGACCTTCATTAAAATATCAAAGTCACAAATTATATGCTCTAGAGAAAGTACGGGGGATCAGGGGAATTTCCAGTGTCCTAGTGCAATGCCTAGGCTCAGAGCCATGTGCTCAGATGATCCTGAGAAATAGAGACTGCTGTATATTTAAAAAAATACACAGATCCTAACTATTGCTTTCAGTGAAATTGAAGGAAAATTCCCCATTGGCTCAACATCTGGTAGTTAGTTTAAACTATTTGTATTAGCAAGCCAAAAAGTACCTGATAGCTTTCTAACAACTTTAGAAACATCAGTACATTCCCATGATCTACACTGCTGTTAGCTCTTACTGGATGATTTCATTTACACAGAACTTACATCCACAGCAAGAGTTCATAAAACACTGAATATATGTATTAGAAAGATCAGAAAATAGACCATGAAGACCACAGTTACTGCCTCCACCAAGCACGTTCTGACAGAAGTTTTCTTTTCTGTAAGCCTCTTCCCTATTGAAATGCTACAAGAAAGGAATAAGACTGACCAATTAAAAGGTTTCTGTCATACTTACGGACAACTTGGAACATTGTTTGGAAACCTAAACTATTAAAATATCTTGTACTTGCAGGAGGAAAATCATGTTGTGCAATCTTCTTCAATAGGAAGAACTCTTCCATCTTTCCATTGCCAAGTCTATTCTAAAATGCTGCTTCTGATCTGCTCAGTTTTGTGCTCTGCCAGATGAAGAATGATCCCGTAAATAGAAGCAGCATTGTAAAATTCATCATTTCCCTTCAGTATGGAAGGGGTGCCTTGCACTTCCACAAGAGCAGGAAGAAACCCCCTCACTACACTCTTTTGATTAGTATAATCCAAATACAGTATAATCCTATACTTTTACATATTTCTGCATTAGAGAAAGAATTTACGTATGTCAAGGACCTAGCCTCATGAAATATCAGTCCCTTAAAAAATAGAGCAAAGCAACAAAAAAGGGCCACTTGTGGAACAGAGGAATAATGCAGATATGATATGGAGAAAAAATGATACGAGTTGAGCACATGACCTTGTGAGAGGTTTAATGATTCTTGCACAGAAGGATGTGTGGGTTTTTTCATAACCACAAAGATCCAGGTAGACTGTAGGGATCTGTTTGGTTTTGTAGGTTGTGCCCTCTGAGTGAATGACATCAGAAAAACCTGATAAGGACAAGTTTTTCAATTTTCAGTTCCCTCCATATGTGACTGCAGCTGAGAAGACAACCTACCCTAATGGTCAGGGATTAGCAAAAAAAGGAACCATAAATAGCCAACATGAGCAATCAACACTGTGATAAGTATTTAGAATATTAATTTGAAAATTGCCCCCAACTGAATCTTTTTTCTTACTTAGCAAGCCTTGCGACTTATGGATGAAGTAAAGGAAAGATTAGAAGAAGAAGAAAGACAATGTCAAGTATCCTTGAAAAATTTATGGGATGAATGTGAGTCTTGCTTAGAAAGTACCTGCATGAGATATTACACAACTTGCAAACATGGTTTGCCAACATTTAGAAGAAAGGTAGGAAGAAATTTTTGTATCTGGGAAATACTCTTATATTCACCTAAAAATTTTAGAGAGAGCACATCGTATTTTCTCAGTACCCAGATCTGCCAGTTATATCAGGTTACCAAAATTAATTTGATTTGGGGGGTCTGGAAATGTGAAGTTATATGGCAGAGATTACATGTAATTATTTTCATTGAACTTTGAGCCAAAATGAGTTCAGTCGCACCCTGGTGTGACTCCATGGCCACTGATTATTGCCCTGATTCCAACGCAGTCACTCCGGATACAGAGTGTTGTCTCTTGCAGTAGGACTTGCATTAAGATGCTCAATAACTGTTTGTGAAAAATACCACATCGATTCTTTATGGCTCATCTGAAAATTAGCAGAGTTAACAGTGTAGCTAGAGTTAGCAAAATTCCATGGGAAAAAAATCACTTATTTATACAACATCATCCTTTCCAATGCTTACTTTATTTTAAACATACTCTTTAAGTAACAAAATAGCTTTAAAATGCTTAACTGCTTTTTAACAAAGGAAACTGGCAGCAAAGAAGATTCCCCTAACTCTACCAGAAAGAAAATATGCTTTCCTGGCTGGCACATTATTATTACAAAATATAGGAAAATTGTAATCATACTTTATATTTGGGCATATGCTTTAAGTGCAGCTTGACAACCAAAACCGCACAATTACTGCTACTGAAATTTTAGGCAGATTACCTAGTTTTCACATCCCCAGGCACTGAAAAAAAAGGTAACTTAAAAATTAAATGCTGTGTGTTTCAGAAGCGACAACCTTTAGAGCAAAGGTGTTTAACGTATGTGCATATTCTTAAAATTATTCAGGTAAAAATGTGGAAGATATTAAATTTAAGACTTCTGGTGATACGTTTGGCTTTTTAGATACCTCTCATGGGTACCTCAAATGGACTCTCAAGCATTTGTGGATGACAGGTTGAAATTATTGCAGTAAAAGTTTTATACTGCACTGTCACTCTTTGACACTCTTGGTAACTTCCTCAGTGAGCTATACGGTTTATTTGAGGCATTCAAAGTAAGAAATGCGTTGTGACCTAAATAAATTTTTATAAAAGAGGACAAAGACAATAGCTGTGGCTGATGACATACCGACAGCGGGGGCAACACTGGCTTAGGCTGTTCCTGCACTGCCGTTTCACAATCCACCTTCCCTCCGAGCTGCAGTCAGATCAAGCAGCTGATCTGAGTTTAAAAAAAAAAAAAAATTTTTAACCCTTGCCAGTTTTTTAATGCCATGAAGCGCAGCTCCACAAAACATGGCATCAGCTCAGGCGAAAGTAATGCCTTAAAGCACGGAGCAGGGAACCAGTGGCTGAAACCCAGGGACTGAGAATCCTGCAAAGCAGAGTCGAAACTCAGGTCTCTTCCATCACCAAACCATGGACTCAGGGCCACTGATTTTCACTGATTTTAGTGGGTTTCATTTTGCACAAGCACGCGAGGACTTGGGCACTGGTGAGAGAGGGCAGGGCGCTTACAGATCGCAGCGAGAACAATCGCCTTCTGTTCCCTACGCGGCACATACGTACCACAGAAATGTTTCCAAGATAAAGTCCAAATTGTTTGTTGGAAGAAACCCAAACGTCGATATTAACTTTGGGCCTCCACAGATCAAAGGCCAACTGGCAACCCTTTTACTCCAGATCTGATTTGGAGCTAATGATTTAGACTGAATATACTTTCACTCCTTAGAGACTAATGTCTTAAATGACTTCGGAGAATATGCTGTGTTTGCAGTTATTAGGAGAGCATTTTTTCTATGGCTATTTGAAAGAGAAAAATTAGAGCCACCTCTCTGAGAGATGAAAAACTGGTAACTTGTCGGGCAGCTGATCTATCTCCTTCTTATACACAGGTTGAAGATTTTTTGAGGAAAATACCTCCACTCATTTTTACTTTTCATGAGGATCAAGGAAAAGACATCCAGTTTAATGAAAAGCCTGAGAAAGAGGATACCCAGCTAGTAAAAATGGAAGATTTATTTAGCCAACTATTATCAGACATGGGCTCAATATTTGACAGAAGTTTCATATTTTTCAAGCAGATGCAAAAAGAATTCGACCAGTCTTTTCAAACATATTTCATGTCTGATCTGGACTTGAATGAGTCCCCCAGCATGCCAGCTTTGCCTGAGGACACCACCAGAAACGACGGCTCACAGAAGGGCTGGGGTATACCTGGCTTCTTACAGATAGTTTTTGATTTCAGTAAGACGGTGTTCGAAGGTGTCAGTGAGGTGATTACCGAAGTATTTGATGAATACCGAGATAACAGAAGAGATGTGCCAGATCAAGCCAAAGGCAAGTGTTAGAAAATGAAAATCAACTGTACTGTCAATGACATCAACACCCTTGGGATTGCTAAATTATGGCTAATGATTCAGTGTGTTAGTGGTACGTTAGCGTGAGATACAGTATGGAAGCTCTGGAGGCCTTCTTGGCTAAACAGGCATGGGTCAAGGAAAAATGTATTCGTTAAATTGAAAGGTACAAATCACCTAGAAATCTCAAAGAAATGTCACAGGGGAACTTACAGGTCCTACATAGCCTGATTTTCATGGCAATTCTCAAAGCATTTGCAGGAGTTCCTCAGGAGTGCTTGGATTCATGACGGATGCAGGTTTTCATAAGGCTGACTGACAGGTCTGATCTCAGCATTTGTCAGGATATGATATGTATCGTATCATATTGACATGTCACCAATTCTAAAAAATTAGAGTAACTCTATGAAATGTCAAGGCATATCCCTGCCCTTGTCAAAAGACATTAAGCTCAGCCAGACAGCTGCAAGTTGCACTCTAGGCTTCCACAGCGATGCAGTGTGCCAAGCAAACACAGACCAGCCATCAGGTTTTCCAGGGACCAGAAAAATTCTGGGCATAACTTTGGTTTTGGGTGATAACTCTCAATAGAGGAAACAACCCTTGGTCAACTTTTAGAATACAAGTAAGCCTTATCCTTCATATCTTACTAATGCAAATAGAAAAACAAGCATCATTCAAATACATGCTGGTGCCTATCTATAAGGAGATCACAACAAGGATATGATATAACTCTGAGTGGTAGGTGACATAACTGCTATATGGTCATCAGGAAATATAAAGTGAAGGGATTCTACAACCGCATTTTTTAATTTTTCCTGTATCATGACCCATGTTACCTCAGAAATAAGCTTTGATACTGTGCTCTCATCCATCTGTAGATGATTATGAAACATCTTGACTTCTAAGGGTCAAAAAGATCTTATCAGAACTCGCACGTTTTAGAAAAACCATGTAGTAACATTGTTTGGCTATTAGTGGGGAATACACTATAAATGCCTTTATAAGGGAAAGTATAATAGTGGCATGAACTCCTTGAAAGAAAACATGATTTGCATCTTCTCCTGCCTTCTACTTTTTAATGGTTTATTCCTTTTTTTTTTTTTTTTTTTTTGGGGGGGTGGTGGGAAGGATTTATGCCAGCTATTTTGGATTAAGGGTGAGAAATTACATTCTAGCACACAGAGCAGGTAACAAACATATATTTATCAAGACCCTAAGCTTAATGACAGTCTAAAAATACCGTGACTTCATTCTAGATCCTGACAGAAGTGGCATGTTCTCAAAAATTGTGTCAGGGCGCCAGAGGCCTCTGTGCAGGGAGCTTCGGGAGAACTCCTCTGGATGCCTGCAGTTTCATGAGAGATGTCAGAAATGCCAAAGCAGTCTTTTGCATGGTAAATAGCTATTTTCCAATTTTTTTTCCTGTAACGCGTTGATCACCAGTTTGTAGATTTTCAGGCTGTCATTTTCTACTGTGCTGTTTCCATATTTTTGGAATTCACATTCAGTCACTGAGGTTTTACTGTAACTACGGATACAAACACTATTCCTCATTCCAAATGATTTCAATTACCTTTCCCCACTGTCTCCACAGAGTGTCAGTATAACTCAGTTATTGACATACTGCTGGAGGTCCAAAGAGAAGTTCTACACAGTTACAAAATACCTATGTATTTTGCTAAGAGTTGCCACCCTGCAGAGAAGCAAGAGGTCAGGCAGTAATCACCTGGGTGCAGAAGTGCTCAGCAGAAAGTGAGAAGCTCAAACTCCTGACACTTGCCTCTCCATGGGCACCTGGAAAAAATTCAGACAGCATCACCTAGAACTGCTCTCAGGACTCCTGCTGCAGCATAACATACCTGTTTCCAGAATTATTTAGGTCTTGAAAGCCACAGAATATGCTTAAACCCAGATGTCTTCAGAATACCTCCAGTGCAGCAAATATTAATGATCCAATGACACATTTTGAAAAGAATATTGGACCGCTTCTATCTCACTAAAAATATCTTTTTATCTACAGCTGCGTATTACAGACACCAATTTGCATCTGCGGTTACTGTACTATCAGCCTGAAGGTGTCCCTTGACAGTCCTATTTCACAGAGAATAAACTGATTTTTTCCACAGTAATTTTTGTATAGGTTTAATACACCGTTCTTGTTTTAAATCTGTATTTTAGTAAACTAAAACCCAGCAATCTTCAGTTTTGAATTCATGACAGATGATACTAGTTGGATACTAATGTCTAGCTATTGTTAGATAAGTATTAGGCCTTAACACTCAACAGAAATACTAACATACATTATGGGCTTTCTTGCAATAACCTATATACTTGGGAGGATTGATAATGGAGTATGAGCAATTAAAGGAAAAGGTAATATATAAGGAGATTATGAAGTTGCTATATCAAAATCTACCAGTTCTTATTTGGCATAACAGAAAATCAATTGCCATGAAATACGATATAAACCTTAAAGTACTTGGTAAGTCATTGTAATAAAGCAAATGGGATACTTAATCCATTTAGTCATTATGAGCCTAAACGAAATCTATCAAAATAGGTCAACAAGAATTACTCTTTTTTTTATTATTATCATTTAAACACCAACCCACAACATGCCCCCTTGCTAGACTTTTTACAGTTTTCTATACTTCAGATAGAAAAGATGAAGTACAAGACATACTACTTCCCTGTAAGCTTCATGCTGGCTGTCTTGTCTAACAGATTGCCCAAACGTTCCTGAACTGCACATCAAGTTTGATGAAGCCTTTAAGCTGGTTAATCTCTCGGGGGAGCAGTATGAACAGATTCTCCAGGTGGTTCAGCGTCATACAGAAGACACCTCCTACTTGTTGAACAAAATGAAAGAAAGGTTTGGGTGGGTGTCTGAGTTATCCAATATGACCATCGGACCAGAAAACATTTTCAATGTAGTTAAGGTAAGGGTTCGTTTCCAAATGGAGCTGTTGCACGGTGCTGTCTTTGACCTATGCTATGCTCATACTTATGCTCTTGGGGATTGTGGCTGTTTGCACATGTGTAATGTTTGGGTTTTACAGTGCAAAGTTCCTACTCATCTTGAATTCATGTATGCTTGTTAATCCCTTGATGAGCCAAAACTCCAGAGATTAGAAACTATTTTCCTCTAAATCCTTTTAGTCTGATGGATGGCTCATGGGCTAACCTGAATCACTGTCTGATAAGAGTAAATTGACATGAGCAGCTTTGACTAGCCTCAGATTATCTTCCCAGATAAATTTCACTGTACCAGTCATTAACACAGCCTTACTGGATCACTGAATATCTAGCTATATGTCTATGTCTCTACCTATATATCCTGAAGCTGAAAGAAGGCAAATGTTATGCAGGTTATTGCAGTGGAAGCTGCATACCTTTAACAGCATCTGTCAATAGTCCAATAAATACACCATGATCAACTGTATCTCACACACAAGAATATATCCAAATTAAATTTAGTCCATTTTTCTGGGCGAGGGACAAATCCTGTTCTCCCTTCCAACTCAGAAATACAATGTAGTACTATTACTACAAAACTTTATACAAAATGATTGTGCAACCCCCCAAAAATCACAAAATCAGGATTAAGGGACAGTCAGTATTTAAGCACACTTTCTCAACCAAGTCTAGGCTATCTGTTGTAGAAAAATAAAGCTACAGAACCAAGTCTGGCTGAGAAAAACACATAGGAATGAACAACTTCAGTCACACAACATTTGCCTTGAAATTAATGGGACGACTCACACACGAGTTTTCATTAGGAGATCAGAAACTCTTTATAGATGTAGTTCATGGTATAAATATTAACATGCACTTCTTTAATATGGTCTTGCAGTGCCGTGTCAGCTCTTCCCACCACCTACAATAAGCTTTGGCATAAATTCAGACACCCACTGTCTTTTGAGAAGAAAGTAATTTAAAGAAAGTAGATGACTCTAAAACATTCCTCTATTTAATTTCCCCCTATTAAAGACAGTAGGCACAGTAGGTATAAACAAAACTAAAAGTACGCAGTAGTTTGCAGTGTCTAAAGTACTGATTTGTTCTCTTCTAGGTGGTACCTGGGGATCCCTCTGGTAAAAATGAAACTGTGGTAGACGTGAATATTCTGACTTCACCTACTTTCACCATTAAAGTTCCTCCCAACTTAGACCCCAAGAGTGCAGAATTCATTGAATACATAGCTGGGAAAGCACTGCAGCTATATAAGCAGAATTTTTAAGTGGTAAGTTCATTCTTTCTCCTTTCACGGAGAACGCAATTCTTTATAAGAGGTGTTTACATCGCCATAAACTTCAGTTGGAACAGGATTCAGTCATGGTATATTCAAGACCATCTCCTCAGAAACGACACATTGATCAAGAGACAAACACAAGCATTATGGAAAACAAAAACAAATGCTCAATGTTCCAGCCTGCAAAACACAGACATGATGATATTAAAAGACTTGACTTATTTAACTGTGAAACCCTCAATCTTTAAGTAACATCTGGGATGAGGTAATGTGATGATAAATGTTCCTTCAGAAAAGAATTGCCTCACATCCACAGTCTAGAGTCTTGGCATTGGCAACCATGTCTTTGCATTCATTAATCATGAATGAACTGGAATTACCACTATTCATTATGGGTTTTTTTTTATTTTAGGTGGTGTTTAAGAGCATGCTCCTTATTATTTTTTATGACAAAGGAGTACAAACTCAGAATCAGCACCAGGACTTGAAAGAGCTGTCTTATTCCAACATTTTCCTGTTAGGAGCACTCTGCTCAGATTAAGCATTAACAATGTCTGCAGTTTGACTCGTAGGAACGTGCACAAAAAGACCCTTCTCATGGACTCGTAACCGTTTTTGTAGAAAGGGCTCACAGAGGCCTCTCTCCATGCTTAAGAGATTTCCAGATGGGGATGGAAGAACCAGGCAGAGAGACAGGGAAAACGACACTTCATAACCACGGGGAATCTCCAGGGAAGATGGGGTGGTTTCAGGTGGCATCGTGCTGCTGTGGGCTAGCCAGCCACCCAGGGGAACCTAGGGGGCTCCAGGGTGCACAGCTCCAGTGACCTCCGACTCTCACAGCTGGCTCTCCCAGGGGCCAGAGCTACAAGAGGTACAAGACCTACAGGCAAATCACTGCAGTGTCCCCCAGTCTTCCACAGAGGCACTGGATCTGGACAAGGCTCCTCTGTAGGACATGGGTGTCTGATAGCCTCATCTCAGCAAATAAAGCATGACCTGAATGCACACAGAAGTCTCAGGAGGCACGTAAAAGGCTTCAACATTAACAAAGTAGATGGAGAAAAGAAAATTTCAGCATTTTATATCGACTCAGGTTATTCTTTTGAGGTCAGACTCAGTTTTTAAACAAGTGAAAGAAATCACTTCCACCAGAGAGGCTGAGGTGGGCTGCAGAATTTAGACAGGATATAACAAGCCTCACCATGAACTTTGGTTAGATAAATGCTGCTGTAATTATGTGTATATTGTATTTAAAACAAAAGCTTTAAAAAGTTATTCTAAACATATAAAATGTTCAGCACAGTTTCTCTACAGTTTTCCTTCAAAATTCTCTGTAATGTATATGCAGTTATTGATCATAGAATCATAGCATGTTTTGGGTTGGAAGGGACCCCTAGAGGTCATCTAGTCCAACCCCCCTGCAGTAAGCAGGGAGACCGCTAACTAGATCACGTCGCTCAGAGCCCCGTCCAACCTGGTCTTGATATACATGATTTCAGATCATGTAAGACTAATCTCCACAGTCTAATGTGACAATATTAATTTCCTTAGTCTGATTATGACTTTTAGCCTGAATCTTACTCTGATTCTTCTGTGCAATATATCTTGTGTAGCCATTTCATACCCAAGTGGCATGAATTTCCAAATCACAATACCATTTTATGTTCGGTTTGCACAACACATTCAGGGTACATGAAAGCGTGATGAAAGCAAAGAGTTAAAAGTGGTAAAGAACTACAAGAAGGGAAAAGGAGAAAAAAGAAAATCTGTTTCACTCTGGTTTTTATGTTGCGTATGTTTCTACAGCAGGGCACTGATACATTCCCCATACACTTATTTTTCTAACATCTTTTTCTCAGTCCAAAACCAAACTCTTTAATCAATTTTTTTTTCCTCTTCTAGGAAAGAAGATGTGTGAAATCTTTCTTCCTGAAATCCAGTATATACTCCTTAGGTGAAATACCCCGTACAGCTAATTGTTAAATGACTATGTTTAAAATAGTTGCATAGAAATAAAATTTTGCTTAGTAAATACTGTGACATATGAGCTAGCAACCGAAGACTGTAGAAATCAGTTAAATCAAAACCAAATTCAAATCCATTTTAATATTCATTTATTTAAATAAAATTATATCTATGTTGTAAATTGGGTAATCTTTGATAACCAGTTATGGCCCTGGTTATGCAAAGATTTAAGGAAATAATCAGCTGTAAGCATACAAATAATTCCTATTTGCATACTTAAATTCGGGCACATTCTTAAGCCTTTTCAAGATGGGTTCCTACAGATGTTGCACGTTCAGCTAAGCCTGAATCAACCAGATTTCCATATGCATGTAGCATATTATTTTCCAATGAAAATGTTCCATTTCTTCTTCTAGTTGCTTTTGATGTTTATCATGTACATTAAATGACTTTTCTGAATATGCAGTAATGAGTAAGTCTTCCGCCTTTGGCATTTCTTACTTGTAGTTCGCCGCTGGAGTCATAATTATCAGGGAATCCTCTATCAGAAAAGATGTTTGTTTTTTCCTAAATTATACACATTAGCTTGCAATGGTATTTGCAAATTATAATGAAGGTTAAGAACTGATGTATCTCTCAGTTGGAAGCAGAGCTCTAGGTGATTTGGTTTTCTGTGCTGTGCCTGGCATTTCTAAGCATTTTTTGCACTGTTACAGTCACCATTTCCAACTGTAACTCTGCTAAATAAATCGTATTCGTTTCAAAGCATAAAACCCCATCAATATTACATACGAGTATAGAAAAATAATCACACCCTAATTATACCATGCCCTTCCCTTTACTTCTATACACAGAATCATAGAATCATAGAATGTTTTGGGTTGGAAGGGACCTTTAGAGGTCATCTAGTCCAACCCCTGCCCCCTGCAGTGAGCAGGGACATCTCTAACCAGATCAGGTTGCCCAGAGCCCCACCAACCTGACCTTGAATGTTTCCAGGGATGGGGCCTCCACCACCTCTCTGGGCAACCCGTTCCAGCGTTTCACCACCCTCATTGTAAAGAATTTCATCATTATATCCAGTCTAAACCTACCCTCCTTTAGTTTAAAACCATCACTCCTTGTCCTGTCACAACCGGTCCTGCTAAAAAGATTTTCCCCATCTTTCCTATAGGCCCCCTTTAAGTACTGAAAGGTCGCAGCCAGGTCTCCCCGCAGCCTTCTCTTCTCCAGGCTGAACAACCCCAACTCTCTCAGCCTGTCCTCACAGCAGAGCTGCTCCAGCCCTCGGATCATGTTTGTGGCCTCCTCCGGACCCGCTCCAACAGCTCTGTGTCCTTCCTGTGCTGAGGGCTCCAGAGCTGGACGCAGCACTCCAGGTGAGGTCTCACCAGAACTTGCAAATAAGTACACACATTTATACAAGAAAAAGGCTGGTTTGTTGTCTTGATTAGCGGGAAAGATATGTTTTCCTGCCTGTTGTACGGAAAAGTAGCATTTTCTAGTCCACAGTCTACTATTTCATTCAGCCTCCATTATGTATCTCTCCATCCTGAGACGAGCTGTGGCAGCTCCTGTATTCACACTGGTTGTCGGGAAGCTGGGCGTTATCTGCGAGACTGACCCTTACAAAACGCTTGACTGGTGAGATACAATAACAAAGAAATATTCAGAGAAGCCTCAGTTTGTTTTTACTAACGGGGAGAGTGTACCTAGAAAAATTTTCAGAGGACACCACGCGGGGAGCAGAATGAGGAAGAACCAGCGTGGTTTGGCGCACAGCTTGGCTTCGGTGCTCGGGCCGGGGGGGGTGAGCTCCGTGGGGGCCGGAGCGGGCGGCGGCGGAGCATTTCCAGCCTAAGGCGAGAGTTCAGAAGGGCAGCGCCTAAGGGACACCGGCCACCCGCCCCGGGCGCGG